TCCATTTCAGACTGGTGTCTTAAACAAAGAAACTCAGACAAGATGGAAGAGTGAGGATTTCACTGTTTCTATTCTGTTGCATCGAAAATCAGGTTTAATTTATACTTCACACAGGCACCTGCTTTCCATAACCACCCAAAAACTTTTCTGAGGTTACATGAATTTTTCAAAAGACAGGATCAACAAGTTAATACAAAGAAGATTTGATTCTGATAATTTGCCTGAGCCCTTCTCCCCACCCCCTTAAAAACTTTATTCCAGTAAGATTAAAAAACAAACAAACAAACAAAGCATCCACCGCCTACTACCCCATCGGTGGCATCAGAATTCATGCTTTTTTCAATATGCAGCTAAGTTTAAGGATTCTACTTCTGGACGTACATGATATCCTAACTACAGGATGCATCCAAGGCCAAATTGGATGTGGTCCTGTGCAGCCTGATCTGGTGGGTGACAACCCTGCCCACAGGAGGGGGTAGGGACTGGATAGTCTTTAAGGTCTCTCCAACCCAAGCCACTCTAGGATTCTCATTCTTACTAAGGTAACTTGCATTCATTTATCTGTTCCATCAGGAAAACCGCTTGTCAAGAAAACATCTTATTTCAAGTACAGTAAAATTCCATCTGCAAATAGTTCTATTAGCAAAAAAAAAAAAAGAAAAAAAGAAAGAAAAAAGCAAGTCACGTGTCACCTGCTTGAAAGTCAAATTGGTTTAAATGTTTAAAACCTATGATTAGAAATAAAACTTAACTAAAATAATACTTTTCCACTTCAAAACACAAAGAAAAATTTGGAAAGACCAACCTAAAAATGAAAACAGAAGAGTCCTGTAAATACTTAAATCTGAAGTAACACCAGGGCACGTGAGCCAGTACTGTAGTTCAGCAGCTAGTCTCAGTTTTGACACTATATCACCAATCCCTCTGCCATCTGTACCATGTGAACTTGGGAAGTTGAGAAACCACAGGAGAGAACAGGAAAAGTGCTTTAAAATGCTTGGGCAAAAGATCTGCACTGAGCAAAATACGTTTGTTTCTACTGCAAGCACAGCTCCCACAGATACAAAAATATACTTTTTTTTCCCTCCTGCGTTCAGCAACGTGTTTAACCTTGGAGTTGCCAAGTTCCATCACAAATAATGAGCCATGACAACATTCCAAGTGATCCTTGGAGAACAGACTGATTTTTACTACACGCTACGCAAAGCAAAATGCTGTTATCATGTTCCCATGGTATAGCACCTGCTTGGAAAATATACAGTAATGTGGCCATCAAGAGGAGATCACAAGTAAATACAGAAGCAGCTAAGCTACTTCCAGGTATTTAGTCACCAGAGGCACAGAGTGAGTAATAGAACAAGAAAAACCCTAATGTCTCCTATCAAAATTATATGAGGATTGAGGATGATGTTCATCTCTTTATATATGTATTTGACACAAGAAATATCTGTGTTTAAACAACACACAGTCACTGAGCAGGAAGAGAGGGGCTTGGTGGCATCCCGCAGGTCTCACAGCCCTGTTCTCACTTGGTGACCTCTGGCAGAGGAGCAGACATGGGACAGGAGGGAAGACTCTGCCCCAGCTGAGCCTCTTTCAGGGTGCAAACACATACAGCTCCGACAGAAAGTATGGGAATAAACTGCACTTACTTGAATGACTGATTAAACCCCCTAACCATGGCAAAGACTCAGGAAGACACAGAACACAAACAAGTAACAGCAAAGACATTTCTGCTGTGCTCCTCCTAAGCTTGAGGGGAGGAAGCTGAGGCTTACAGCATTTAAACAAGCTCTCGTGACTCCCACAGACAATGGAGGGTTGTGGCTCTAAACACTCCTTACAAAAAAAAAAAATAAATTCATCTCACCTTCAAGAAATAAGCAATGTATCCTTACTCCTGACCTGTTCGCAACAAGGTATTTGTTTATGGCTGTGCAGTGGGAGAAACTTCCTGCTATTTCTGAGTCTTTTCTGTCTCTTGCACCATAAGGGAAAAGAAAACAGTGCACCACTTCTCCTTCTCTGTAGGGACAACATTTTACTTGCACTTCAGATTCAAGGTTTTCTAGAAACTATGGCAACTTTCACGAAGCTCTGGAGAGCAGGAAGGCATTGACATCATTCAGATATTTGACTTCAAGATGCTACGTTTGCAGGAACAGACAGCGAAAAACAGTTCTGGCTCCTCGAAGCGTAACAGATTTCTTTCCTGTTGAGCTACTGTACAAAGAAAACTCCCTTCCTGCAAAACTCAGTGACTTTTAAAGTCAGAAAATGGATTGAGTTCTTGTCTATTGCTAAAGCTATACAAGAGCCACAAACACAACCACTGAAGTAATAGAGCAGTGCAAGTGATAATTTGTTAACACTATTTTCAAATTTGGGAGTACAGCTACCTATGTCCCTCCTTCACCTCCTCTCCTTTTCTCTTCCATGTACACAGAATTTCATAGCAGGCTATTCAGAGCATCCCCCTCCCTCCTTCCTTCAAAGCATTCCCAGATCAGGCAAACCTGGGCTACCAGTGCCTACTGCAGTACCATGATTCAAAACAGTCATATAGTGAGAGCAGAACTCGCTCTACATTCAGAGAAAATCTCTAAATTACAGGGATAGTATTTTTTTTAATTAGTAGTAACAATATCCTCAGACCTCTGCACGTACTGTATCTTCCACTGATAATGAATTTCCATTCATAGTGCATGTAGCACTACGCATAGCTGTGCACATACAGCTATTTCATTCCCTGATTGCATTATTTGGCAATAAAATCCCATTTAAAGAAGGGTAATTACAGATTTCAGGTGAACTGAAATTGGTACTGGGCCAATCTGTAAGCTCCGTAAAAAGCTTTCAAACTACACTTTTACACCATGCAAATCTTTGTACTCTTCCAAGAGCAGGGGTTCTTTAGTTCTAAACACAAAGGTGGAAAGCTCAGGAAGAGGAAGAAAGTGTCACAGCTCCAACCCTTCTTGCAGAGCCACAACTTCTCCATATATGTCTTACCCTGGAGATACTCCGCCTATGTTTCACAGAAGAAAAAACTCAGGAAGTCAGTTTAGATGTCAGGATAATAATGAAAAGTAGTTTCACACACATTAACAGCTGGCAGTCCTATTAGAAGAGGAGCAAAGACCACTAAGACAGAAAGTAGGTCAAGGACTCAAAAACTGAGGAGAAAATTAAGGATACGCAGTCACATACTACAGAGTAACATGGCATCTTCCAGGAACACTTGCATCGAGATAAAGTTCCACTTTTCAGAGATGCAGGATCCCAACACAAAATCTTTCAGGTGGCTCAGTATCTAGACACATAACACAACAAATGCTTTCTGCCCATACGAGCCAGCCTTAGCAAAAACAGAGCAATTCCACCCTCAGATACTCCACTTTGCCTTTGTCTGGTCCAGTTTTTGTTCTGATCAATTAGATCAGTTTTCATCCAGGCCATTTTCCTGAGGGAAATAAATAGAAGGCTGCAAACTGTCCTCTATGCAACCTGTGCGAGAATCAGGGTGGAAACTGGACAGGGTTGTTGATAAAATCAGGGATAACAGAATGGTGGTCCTGTTTTGAATAGACCAAACTAGCAACCAGGGACACTACCCAAGAATTCTCTGTGCAAATCTAGAAAACTACAGGGCATCACATGCCAATCTAAAGCCTGATATGTTTTTTTGTTTGTTTTTAATTGAATTAGATGAGTACCCAGTGAATTCTGGCTAAAAATCCGAAGGAATCACATGCACTTTGTGTACAGCTGTCAGAAAGTCTCCTACCAGAAACTCAATCAAAAGGCACATAAAGAGTAGTAAGCATACCACAGGTAAAACACATATCAATAACGTCTATTCAGTTTGACAGAGATTAAACCAATGAAGGTCTACAATATGCTCAGCTGATAATATAGCTAAAGGTTTTCCCCTTTGGGAAACATCATACTAGAAGAATGACTTGTGAGACTAGCAGACTTTTTTTTTTTCCTATATTGACAAGGCTTTGAGAGGCCAACAGAACCACCTACTTCCCAGACACTGTTAAAACACATTTGAGTTACCTTGATTGTGTTCCCTCCCTCCCGCATCTTTCAAACCCCATGGTAAAACTGCACAGCTTAAAACATTAATTTTGATAGGAAAGCTGCAAGTTGGTCTGCCCTCCATTCCCCAAAAAACTGAGGAAAGATATGGGGAGGAAGGGTAAAACTGTATTTTTTCCACCTGAATTATCAATGCAGCTTACTGAATCACTTGCAGTACTTTCCAAACAAAGATAAATCTGTTGGGAAGAATTTCATCTAGGATGAAACTTCAAGACTGTCAAAATATGATTATCTGAACACAGACTGCCATACCAGGAAATAATAAGAAAACTGAGATGTTAATAGATGCTCTAATTATTAACACACACAGCTTAACAGAAGTGCCAATCCATTTGAAGAGAAAAGCACTATTTAAATATAGATACTCGACACCAGATGTATCATCATTCTTTACGTGCTTTTTATTCAACTCAGTGGACATCAAGTAATCCCACAGGACAGTATCATTCACTTTTATTATAGCTACTGACCTCATTTTTCTTTGTTAGAGCTCTGCTGTAGTGTCATGACTAAATGTGGCAAGCAACAAATCACACCCTGTCAGCAGCCAGGGCCTGTCCTTTCTCTTTTCAAAGCTTTAATTCATTTCTGTATTTTTTAAAGTCATGCTGCTTCAAAACAGCTGATCCAGATGGTGGCTATTCGCATTTCAACCTTCCCACATGGTGATGTTGCTCAAGAAAATAAAAACTGTTGCTACCTGCTGCTGACCTACTTCTCTCTTTAATTTGTTTCCTGCCACATTACAGAATGAACAATAGAGTTCACTGAACTCATCTTCCATACCTAGCCACAGCAAAGTAAAAATTACAAAATAAAATTAATTGGGGGAGGAGTGGAATGAGAGGAAACAGCATGATTCAGGGGACGTAGGAGGAAGCAACTCTCACCTCTGTCATAATCGTCTGCTTCTATTGCTTTCTGCTGGAGCCTCTGAATCCGTAATATCATGGATTTTACCTATGTATAGGAAAAAAAGTTAGTTATATAGAAGTTACATTTAAGAATCACTATTAATCGCTACGTAATATAAATCTACAGAATTACTACAACCTCACTAGAACGACATGATTTTTGAGAATTAAACCCCACATTTGTTAAGTAGACAGACCTACTTGGAAATCAGCTGAACTGCAGCCACTTCAGTCAAGAATGGCTTTAGTCCAAACATCTACAAGGGACATCAACAGCTTTTCTTGAAAAGCAAAACAGATTGTGCGATCATAGGATATTTTTCACCCTTTTCCAAGTAAGGATTATTATAGGATTCTGTCAACCTAATGTCTACTTCTGATCCCATACTAACTCAATGTTCTGTTCTCTAGCCCACTTAACAATTTCTTGCCTGTTCAAGTTTTGCACAGAGCACATCCAGAATTTCTGTATGCAAACAAAAAGAGAAACATAGTATGATTTTGGGTCAAGAATACTCACATTAAGGCAGAGAAGACTGTGCTCAATTGCAATCAGTGAAGTTTAATTAATATATAGTTTAAGCTTATCTAGAAAACACTGATGTTTGCATTTTTAGAAACGTCCATATTACAAGTGGGAGGGGTGAGAAAAAAAACCCTATACCACATAGAAAGTGCCTTTACACACCAAAGAAGTTCTTACTAGGATACAGTTTTCTTTCAAAAGCTAATGCTTCTCTGTAATGAATCTACATCATTTACCAAAACATTTCAGAAGGGCAGACGTGCATCCAAAGGATATGAACAATTTTTATTGTTACAAGAATTTGGTTAAAGGTATGCAGTCCTCTCCTCATTGCCCCACGCCAGTCACAGTCTAGCACAGCTACAGCTATAAATTTGAGAAGTGTTTTCTTATTAAATTTACACTTGACCTGTACCAACAAGCCATTATCAGCACTGAGAGAGGTAAACCCAGAAAAAGAATCAACATACATCCTCATAGTCCAAAGCCTGAAAGTGCTTGGGAAAGCAAGAAAATTCATACTTGAGGCATTCTGCACATGCAAAAACTTTGCTCCTTCCTAAAACACTTTTGTATTTAAATCTTTATAGTTAAACTCTAAACAGCATACAGAAAAAGAGGTACAGCCATATCACAACTTACTAGAACCATTCAGTTGTCATATCAACACAGTCAGTGCAAATCAGGCAAGACATGTAAATTAATGGCAACTCTTACAAATATGGTAGTGGACTGGTCAGAATACATATTAAAGGTAATAGGCAGGAGGGGAAAAAAAAAAAAAGCTAGATTAATAGCAGGCTCTAGGATCCTCTGGAGGAAAAACAAAAGAAAAAACCAAACCACTCCACATAGTCCCTTTCCCTCGAGGTTTCTGCTGTTGTTTTTTGTTTTGTTTTCAGTAGTATTGTTTTTCACATACAGAAACATCAATGTTTTTTTCTCTGAGACTGGCGATGAACATATAACATGTAGAAGGAAGGCACTGAATCCTCACCATAAATTGTTCTCTGTATTTTATGCCATATTTTTATAGAGTTCTGAAGAATCTTACAGTAGAAATGGTTCAAATGACACTTTTTTCATATATATGATATATAACAACCATTTACAGTGAGAATAGAGCATTGCTGCTTTTTGCACTGTTTATTCCATCATGCACTCTCAATGGCAGGTCATTTAAAATCTGCTTGGGTACCGCAGTACAGCCATGCCCGTGGCTAAGTGACTGATGCTGCGACAATCAAGTGCTCCTGTTTGCAGGCTAAAAAGACATTTGGAGCTCGACTGATGAAGGAGCTGCTTCAGATCAGAACGTTCTAAACCTGTACCAGGTGATGAGTACCCTCTTTTTTTTGTTTATTAAAATGAGTGCAGAAGAAGCATAGTTTTAACAGCTTTGGTACTGTCTCCTTTTTCTGACTACAGCTGACTTTGTTCCCTTCTGAAAAGTTTGAGAGTTGCTCATTATCATTGCAATAGGAAGGTGTTTCAAATTAAACACACAGGACCAAGGGCAAAGACATCTGAAGGCACAATTCCCCAATTCTCCATTCAATGAATTAATGAATATAGAAATTAAAGATAGCAATGTTTCGTTGCGTCTATCAAATAAGCAGACCGAAAAGACAGAAAATCATTTTGTATTTTTATTATGTTATATATTCCCAAATTTGTAGATAATTAATTTCCCAAGCCATCTCACACTATGAGAATATTGCCATTCCAGGCCTGAAGCCGAAACAGTTGCTCCATGGCAATGCATGGAAAGTCTGCATAAATGTGCAAGAGAACTTAGTTTGGGTCCTACATGCATCCCCATGAAAAACAGGGATGAGAGTGTTGCAAACCCAGGTCAGATGACACAGACAAAAAAGTAAGAATAATGTTTCTCGACCTACTCCTTAGGCCTAAAGACAACGCAGTGCATCTCAGTAGATATGCCAGTGCTGAGAAATCACAAGAACACACTTTCTGAAGACTTTTCATTCTAGGGTTAACACAGATAGCATGAGCAGAACTCAATCAGGTGCACCTTTCTATGTGTAAGGTACAAACATCCCAGGCATTGCTCCAGAGCACTCAGGGCACCAGTGAGAGTCTCAACAAGCACACCACCCATACTCAGTGGAATTTTAATAGTTTTAAAATTCATGAGATCCAGCATGTCCATACTAATCTCCAGATTACCACTTCTGGAGTGCATAACAGAGCCAAAATTTGGCTCCTTATTGCATCCAGGCTCAAAATGGCTTCCTTTTGATGCTCCTCTGCCACCTCAAAAATATCAAAGATTAGAAAAAATCCTCATGTACAATAAGAATAACGGATCCTTTTTAAGGTTTCCCCACTCCCCTCCCACAAAGAATACAGTGAATGAGGCTGCTTGTATACATGGTAAGTACACATGTGGGTACGCATACATACATCCAAAAAAAAAGACTTTTAGTCAACAGCCCATAACTTCTGTAAGGTGGAAGAAAAAAAATATTTAATTCCCAGCCTGAATTAGAGCAGGGAATGAAACTCCATCTATCATCATGCGTGGAGTACAATTGTGTATTAGTTTGAAGGCTACCCTCACACATATGCCTTTCCCCTAGAAATCTTTGGCTAAATTTACACATTTTCAATTACAAAGTTCTGTTTCATTAAATCATGATGCTTCAAGGAAAAAAGATGTTACCACCTTCAAGTTTTGCTCTACATATACTCCAATCTGCAGTCAAGAAAGCACCTGTGAAAGCAGCCCTTGATAAATTCAGAAGTTGGTATATGACAGTAGAAATAAGATCACAGTCTCAGTATGGCATAGGAGCCAATTACTGCAACATCATCAGTTTGTTGGGTTTCTCTTGTTTTGGTTCTTTTAAAAACAAAACACACAGGTTCCTTCATTTTTATTATGCAGATACTGAAAGCTTCTATGAAAAAGTACCATGAAACCTGTTAATATCCCAGCACCCACACCAAATTAAGACACCAGCACTACGAATATACATCATATATCTAGGGGGCCAAGAGGAGGAATCAAAGATGAAACGAGATCACAAACCTTTAATGTACTCCAGTTGCCAAGCTGGCAGTCCAGTAGTGCTGGTTCATACCTTTTTATCAAAGTATCCCAGTTTTGGTCACTGACAGCAAAACTACTTTCATAGCCTGAGGTAAAAGAGGAACCAGCAGATGCCACATCTGAGGAATCTGTAGAATATGACAATGTTGCATCCGTATCAGAGAGAGAGACAGTCTCACAATCCTGAAATTTATCATTTGCTGTGTTCTCATTTTCAGACTTCAAATCCTCACTGAGCCTAGAGAAGCAACACAAAGCCCCCGAGTGCTCCTGAGTTTTTTTTGCCTCTCCCGGCTCCTGCAGATCTCTGGTACTGCTGGGATGCAGAACACTTGCCTTGAGTTCAGCATCACTTATTCCGGAGGCTGAATTCAGAGAGAGCTGTATGAAGCTGAAACTCGAACGAAAACTGCTACGTGGACCATCAGAACAAGAAACAGCTTCCCTGTTTTGATATTCACAGTTATTATTCACTTCTGCCTGATCCAAGGCATGTATCTTTAAAGGCTCACTTGCTTCAGTTCCGTGGTTTGTCTGCCGTGTACCACTTACAGTAGAAACACCTTTGCTTGTTGTTTCAGCAGGGTAAATCGATGCTACATTTTCTGACCATGGATTCTTGGAACATGAAAGATTTTTGCAACTTCCTGGCATATTTACAGTAGTGCCCAACATTGTTACCCCATCAGAAAGAACTACAGCACTACTTGCAATTGAACTACAGCGTAAGAACTCAATGTTATTTTTGTGTTGTCTGCAGAGAGAGAAGTCCTCCAGCTCTTCACAGTGCCTCTTGTCATGTTTGAACTCCTTGGGACTGGAGGACTTGCAGGCACCCAGGGACTGAAATTGGAGCTGTCGCTGGGCCTCTGGCCTCATATATCCAGGTCTTTTTTCCAGTTTCCTTTTACGAAGAGAGCCTGAAGGCATTAAGTGCTCCAGACCATCTGGAGGGGGTAAAAAATAAAAATAAAAAATTAAGTCAGTAAAGCACTTCTGCAGTTTCTTAAGGGTAATATATCATAGCATTCAGGAATTTCAGACAATGCATCAGTTTCCACTTTAACAAAACAAAGACGCTGCCTGTATTGCAGACAGACGTGATAAGGTGTTACCAGAGAACTGTGTGCATTCACTCACTTTCTTGCACCTGCTTTTAAGTGAATTCACTGATACAACAGGACACATACAATGAATCCATGGCTTTCCTATTTATGGCAGTGCTCTGCAATTTCTCATTCTCCGATCACTCACAGCACAAAACATATTTAGTCTCACTGATACAGAACAATTTTCAGACATACAATCATGGAGGACCAAATCTGCATCAAAAACAAGAGAACAACATTAAGAAATTTTTCACATACCTTGTTACTGCTCATGCCTAGTTCTCTCTGTTTTATTAATACAAGCATTTCAAATTCAGCTTCCAGAACAGCTGCAGCTCCTTAACAATCTAAGGCTGCGTATCTGTTATTCTAGTGAGATATTTTATAGATCTTTATTTACTGTTTTACCTGTTGCCCAAACAATAAGAGTTAAAGTTTTGAATGCAGGACTCTCGGTCCATATTGGAACACCATATGATTGCTAACATTATTGCAATGTGTTATGTAAAAAGGTCTTCTACTCAACAGCTAAATTTCGCCATGTATATTCAATAGACATAGATGGAAACATAGATTAGCTGTTTCCAGAGTGCAATAGAAAGAATCAAGATTAAAAAAAAATCACTGAAAGTGAAAGATTAAAATGTAGCACTCTATTTTTGCTATCTCTGTTTTAAATATATTTATTTTTTAAATAAGTCAGCTATACCAAGAGGCAAAAATAAAGACCACAGGACGACTACTCGCAGCTTCTTAAGGATTTACTACTCATCAAAAGGTATTCCATTCTTCTATCTTGCACAAAATCAGTGGAATATCAGCTCTGCCTGTCACCCATTTTGTATCACAAAAACATACTGAACTGGCTTATTTGCAAGACTAGCACTTCAAAGGAACCTAGTGACTAGCTGAATTATGCCCCTGATTAGCTGCCTTCTATTCACTGAAACAGAATCCACTGCCAGAACCGCAGGTACCAGAATTATTCTGATCACAGATATAGTGGTATTCCAAAAGGCAATTTTTACTTTTTTTTCTTGTTTTCCACAAAACGTATTAAATATTCACCTCCATTCAAAATCCTTTGTCGATTTTTATATTGACAGACTTGTACATACTCTAAATACCTCAGCAACTCCTAACAGAAGCCTAAAACATACCTCATTAAAAGGACACACAATACAAACATATAAGCACTTAACCTGAATCTTCCCAACAGACTTTTTTCAGTATTCACTGTGTCTTCTTCAAGTAACCTTCAATGAAAGCAACTTGAACGTATTCCACATACCACAATACCAGCACCTCACTATGGAACTGCAGTTGTATTTTGCTTCCTATCGCCATAAACTGGGATAGTCCAGCTGTCTCACACTCTCTCTTGTTAGAGGAAAAAGCCTTCCAGAAGTCAGAAATAAAGAAGGTCATGGAGTCCATCAACCTGTCTAACGTAAAAAGACAGTGAAAATGCTCTGCTGGGAGTAATTTAATAGAAATTATAACAAATAGAAACCATTCTTGATGTAAGGGAACAAAAATTGAACAGAGTGTTCTTCAGAAGTTAATTCTTTTATATACAAAATAATGGCCAAAATTGGCCTTCAGCATAAGAAATCCATCAGTCTTGGAATGACTTTTTTGCATGGATATATTTTATCACAGTTTACAAAGGCCAGCCGCAGGCTTCGTCTGATAAAAATAGAAGTTCATGGTTGAATTACGATCAATTTAAAATTAATCTCAGCAAATCACCATGAATTTCTAGGGTAAACAGATAATTACAGCTCTTTAAGCAACACATTTAAACTATTCTAATGTAAGTTAAGTTTAAATTGTTAAATATTTGCACCATACTAACTAGATGCAATTCTAAAAACAATTTCAGTTCAACTGGTATGATTTCATTATCCTGAATTAGTCCACACAGTAGGAAGCCCCACACTTCCACGTTCCTCCTCAAACAGGTAATTTTCTAGCCCAAGGTTTGCCAGTCAACTCCTTTGTGGACTCCAGATCTGCCTTCTGGCAAGCCCACCTGGCTACTGCACAGCAGCCAAAATGACACCAAGATTGCACCTATAGTCCAGCAGAGGTCTACTGAGACAGCCTGAGCTGCTGACTAGACCCACACAGGAGGCAAAAACTAAAGAGCTCAATGAGGCACATTCCAGCAGGCCCCAAGGCCTATCTTGCTCAGAGGAAAGGGAAGGAAGAAGAAACTGCAGGCAGAGCCCAGCCACCAGCTAGAGAGCACCTCTGTGCCCTCAGCCATCATGAAATCCAGATAGGATATTGCTAGGGCTTTGGCCATACTGTTTTCACACCCTTCGTCCTTCTATTGTATTCCACGATGTGAAGTTTAGAATCACTTTGGTTGTTTATCACAGATCTGAAATTTAATTACAGGGAGTCTGTTAGCTTTCTAAACTACAAGGTCTGCTCTGAAAGTAATGTTTCCTATTTCATGATGTTGGCCTAGAACAAGAGGCAGATGTTGTTGGTACAGCAGTAGGGGGTTGAAACTTTCCATCAGTGTTCCATAACATGTTGCCATGTGACAGATGGCAGCAGAAGGGCAGTCTAACAGAACTGCATCTGAATGGAAGAGTGGATGAAGCACAGGCGTGACATTGAATTCCTCCGTGTGGAAAAAGTGGTAGCCATTGATCTTCATCAGTTCTTGCTGAACACTTATAGAGACCAAACAGCAGATGTGAGCACAGTGAGGCAGTGGGTTTCAGCAGTGGGGACAGTGACAGTGGGTCACCTCTGCTGGTGCAAATTTTTAAAAGCGTGGCATACAGGCTTTTGTTCATTGCTGGTGAAAATGCACAGCGAATGGTGGTGACTGTGTTGAAAAATACTGTTCTACAGCTGAGAATTTGCTCTATCAAATAGTGTCATTGTGCTCTTTGTAGATGTTGCAGTTTCCATGGAAATAAACAGGAGGCATTACTTTTGAAGCATCCTACGTGTATCTTATGTCCTGACAAAGAAACTACAGTGGAACAATTCAGATGGCTTGTTCAAGTGACAGGCCTCACTTTTCTCAGAATCCCCTCAGTTCAGATCACCTCAAATAGCACATAAGCCCCTGGCAAGTGACTACTAAACTATCAGAATTGTACTTTGAAACACTATGAAAGCAATGGAAGATGATTCAGAATTATATAACACTACAGTGTTATGCCTTGTATGAGATACTTAGGAACAACAACAAAAAACTGAAAAGTTGTGTATTGTATTATTACAAATGAGCTCTTAAAATGCATGTTATAGTTCTAGAAGATGCAGCGATATTTTCCAATCAAATGTTCTATCATGAGCAAGTGGCTTCAAATCCTAACTACAAAGGCTTAGAGAAGAATCTATTTGATTTGATCAGATCTTTCATCATAGCAAATCTTTCCCAGTGAGTAACAACTCAGAGCCAGAACATAGAATGAACACGTTCCAACACTGCTAAACAACTCATATGCAGCAATGCTACTTAAGTCTCATTTGAGTCAGTAGGATGAAGCAGGGAAAGGGGAGGCCAAAGAGCATTTACTGCTGTTGGAAGAGCACATCCTTTTCTATTCAACTTGATGCAACTCATAGCAGGACAGTTATCTATTATGAGTCTCCATTTTCAGCCACAAAATCCACACTTCAGTTTTCTGACCAAATGCTCCAATTACATCTATAGCTAGAGTGTCATGAGAATGTGAAAAATTCTTACAAAATCCACTGGGGCTTTAAAGATGAGTACAGAAACACCATATTCCACAAAACCTCTCTGCCCTAACTTTAATCCAGTAACTCAGAATGCCTGCGAGATCACTAAGTTATCCCCGAAAACCAAATGAGAACTTATACATGCAGTTTTAAGAAGAGCTCAACCATTCGCACACACCTACATTACACTGTTCATGTCTATTAAAATAACAAATTCAGCTCTAGAACATTTGTGGGTGGCAGCCGTGGTGCCAAAGGAAAGATACTTGGTCATATTCAAAGCCAGATATCAAAGCACTGCTCCAATCAAATTCTATAGTGCTGCTTCTGTTGAGGAAGCCTTAAAAACCTGTGATAAACTGTATGCAAAGTGAGATGAAAATATTTATTATTTACAAAGATACACAAGCTAACCTTTCTCAAAGATTAATCAATCTGACATTATAGTGACTATTATTATGGATCAGTTCTTCTATCAAAAATACGACAAAATACACTGCAATTTCTAATTAGCTAAATTTTGACTTGTCTGGTGAATTTCAAAAGATGCCACAAAATTCTCAAAATAAGGTGGCATCAATCTCAACATGACCTCTTTCAAATAAACCATTACAGTTTCTTTACACAAATGTGCTTTTAGACATCTTTGAACATAAGCTGTTCATAACTAATAAAATGTGAATGTCTCATCCAGATTTTTCACCTAACTACTGAATGCTAGCTATACCTTGATTTATCCAGCACTTCGTTAAGTGTATCTATAGAACTCAAGCAATGGCTGAGCTACATAAAAATTATTCCCTCACCAAAAGCTCCTGCAATTTCTGAGATCACATGCTGAGATCAGTTATTCAGCTGCTAAATTTCCAACATGTCATGTATGAAATATACTCTGAAGTCATTAAGTGTTTTAGTTGTTATTCTTCATTAAAAATACTTCAAAGACATTTTAGATGCAAGAGTGGTCTTCCTTAGCCAGTGTTTAAATAAACTTATTTTTATTGATACACTCCCATAATGCACATCATTGAGTTGTTATATTAAGGAGGTAAGTGGCTTGAATGTAACAACTCATCCTAAGCCATTTGAGGAAATTGCAACACTTCTCTCTAGAGTAATGA